GGAAGGGGGATTGTCTATACTAGCACCCCGACTGTTGCCAAAGCAACAGATTTTGCTTAAAGTTGTGGGGAAAGGAACACTCAGTGTTATATCACCACTGTAAACCATGAGGGACTAATTTTGCCACTATCCTAGCTGCTTCTTATTGAGTACCCCATATGGTAAAAGTGGTGCACTCACCAACTATCCTGCGCACGAGAGAAGTGCAGTCTGAATCCAAGTCTCTTTTGAACCCTTCCACTGGTGAAGTTCGCCCTGAACTTGAGTACAGAGATGCATGCCATTTCTCAGGGTCCCAAACTCCATCACTATGCAAATAAAAGTTACAAAACCCTTTAAAAGGTTTCACTTCAAGCCACTAATCCATTATAATACTTGAACTAGAATGATCTGTGCTACGGCATTTTCAATTCAATTCAAGTCTGCATCCAGTTTCCTACCTTAAATTGGCTCAAATACATGGTGTTATAGATATCTTTATGAAGTTAGAATTGTTCCACATTTTCTTGTCAAATATCAGTATAAAGATAGCACAGATATGCGCTTCACTTCAAGCCACTAATCCATTATAATACTTGAACTAGAATGATCTGTGCTACGGCATTTTCAATTCAATTCAAGTCTGCATCCAGTTTCCTACCTTAAATTGGCTCAAATACATGGTGTTATAGATATCTTTATGAAGTTAGAATTGTTCCACATTTTCTTGTCAAATATCAGTATAAAGATAGCACAGATATGCGCTCAATATCTTAAGTAGTTTACAACGCTTCAGTTGACACTTCGATCACCTATTTGTCTTCCAAGAATAAGATGTTTTCTTCCAATCTTGTTAGATGTCAACAGGACTTCCTTTCACCCCAAATAACTTCTCTTGGGCAAATGGCCGAATTGTAACACACTAACCTTACTGGTATACCAGTCTCTCTTTAGCAAGTCATTCATAGGTAGAAGGCACATGCCTTGCACTCAAAGTGAATGAAATGAGAAAGCAAAGTTGCCATGACAATTTATCATTACTATATTTTACCAGGAAGTCAGCAAGAAGTTGTAATGGTTCCTACTGCAACAAAACAATTTCAAAGCTCAACCTGGGTGTATTAGGACAGCTGTATTGAACTTGGCTCCCCTTCCCCCCCCCCCCCCCCCCCCCCCCGCCCCCCCCGACTTGCCAGTACTGAAGGACCAGGGAGAAAGGAAATATTGGGGTCAAGAAAAAGCTTAAAGTCTATTTTTTTTTTGAGAGCCTGTAAATAAAATAAATAAATAAATCAAAAATCTGTACTACGTACAGTTATCCTCCAAGGCATTTCTCTCATGCTACAAATCATACACCATGCAGACACACAGGAGTAGTAGAGATACCAGGTATAGCACTGAATATACTCTGACTACCCAATGCCTATTTTTTTGAAAGAAGCTTAAAGTCTATTTTTTTTTTGAGAGCCTGTAAATAAAATAAATAAATAAATCAAAAATCTGTACTACGTACAGTTATCCTCCAAGGCATTTCTCTCATGCTACAAATCATACACCATGCAGACACACAGGAGTAGTAGAGATACCAGGTATAGCACTGAATATACTCTGACTACCCAATGCCTATTTTTTTGAAAGGCATTAGCTTAAAACAAGCCTTGTTTGGGGACTTCACAAGTGCTTTCATGGTTTTGCTTGTGGAACTTAAGAGTACACAGTTAAAACAGTTTAATTTATTTTAAGACAAGAAAATACCTGTCATGTTTTTCAGAAAGACATGAAGGCCTCCGTTTAGAGTGGGGATGCTCTTTAATATCCAAGAGTTCTGCCTGGAAAGGAAAAGTGGTAAGTTCTGACTCTCACCTGGGTAGGATATAAACAGAGAGCAAAGTTTATTCCAGAATATAGGTTTATTTAAATATCATGGATGAAATTAACTGATTTTTTTTGTTCATGTATTGCAGTCACTGTACGCTGACTTGTACTTTGAAGGATTCTACAAACATGTCTATTTTTAATTTCAGCCATAATAGAGATGTTATCCTTCCAACACAAACTATATCTAGATGGACTACCGCACAGCCATAAGATTGAATCCCTCTATAGAAGAAACAATTAAGATAGAATTCTCTACATACAAGGAGCTTAGATCTGAGTCAAGTTTAAGTTCGACTGAGGTCAAAGCTCAAATTAAAAGGGCAATTGAGTTTTGAATCAAGAAGAGTTAGACTTAGGTTCTGTCACAAGCAATATGTGGGGCCTGCAGCTCAGCAGGCTGGGATGGAAGTTTCCATCCTTGCTGTACCCAGCCTAGTACAGCCTTGTACACTGCAAACACGCACCAGCTGGCCCTTATCAGCTTTAATCCATGCACTTAAGCTGGGAAACTACTGAGCCATAAACAAGTTTGACCTCCGTCTCAGCTCATAAGAGCAATAACAATGGCGTTGAGCCAGTACGTGCACACCCGGTAAACAACTGTAATATAACTAGTGTTGGGAGTCCCATGCCTGGTGAGTTTCACCAGGGACCTAGGCCTCGGAGGGTGCCCTGGATTCCCCCAACTGGAGCCACATCGACCGTGGCCCTTGAAGCGAGGATCAGAGACAGGACTCCCCGCAGTAGAAAGGACGTAAGCATTCTAAGTGCCTTTTACTCTTATATGCATTGCTCTGCAGTGCTTGCTGATGTGCACTCTGTGGCTGTGTCTACACTGGCACCCTTTTCCATAAAAGGGATGCTAATGAGACACTTCGGAATTGCAAATTCCATGGGGGATTTAAATATCCCCGCGGCATTTGCATGAACATGGCTGCCGCTTTTTTCCAGCTCGGGGCTTTGCCGGAGAAAAGTGCCAGGCTAGACAGGATACTTCAG